AAGAAATATCTGCTAACAGACACCATGAGAAAACAAAATTAGCAAGCTGCAGAAAGAGCCACAGGAAAAGCACAGAATGAGACTAACCTCACAGCCAAACTCCCTGACAAAGAGAATTCTAACTGAAGCTTTTTATAGAAGTGGAATACCCCAAAAGCGAGAAAGAGTCAGATGTGACCAGCTTGCCTGGCTTCTAGCCATGCCACTGAGATTTTCTTTTTTGGTCAGCCTCTTCCTCAGTAGGAACGTTCATAGGCTCTCCCCTATACATTGCTGCATTTTCCAAAAAAATGGATACAAACACAACATATCTCAGGGGCTTCAAATATTTGTTTATGTTTCATTGAGAATATTCAACAGACTCAAATGGTATTCAAAAAAGATGCACAGAACCACCATGTATTTTCCCACTGAAAGACAATCTTGGCTATTAATTTCACATAAATATAGAAGAACTACTTGTTCATTTGCTTCTGGTAATTTAATATGATCCCCTGGTAGGATAACAGCTCAGAAAACCTAACCCAAACAAAAACTCAGAAAGTCCAAGATGTTTTCATTTGCTGGAATTAAGGAACTTGAACATTTTTAATTTAAATCAACTCCTCTGCAGTGCTGGCCACAAGAAACCTGAATTACGGTGTTGCAAAAATTAGTTCATTTTCTTTACACCTACCATTTGCTAAATAGCTTAGGTAAGCAAAGCAGTCATCTAATGGTACACAAATTTGAAGGACAAAGCCTTCTGCATTCTCTTATACTACAGACATAAGTTTTATAACTACTGCAAAAAATTTGTAGTAAACATTGCCAGGTCTGCAGCTATTACTTTGTCAATCAACATTTTTTTTAAATTAAAAAAAAAAAAAATACAATGAAATTTACAAGTGTGATGAGTTCCGTGCCCTCTCCCTACCTAAGGAGAAGTCCACATCGAAACTCTTCATGACTTTCTGATATACCATTATAAGTTTCCTTCATTTCCTTTCACACAAATGAGACTTCAGTATTACTCCTTCACTTACTATTCTAAATAATTAAAAGGTGGTATAGTTCCAGATAAAAGCACAATAAGGGAAAGAAGTCAACAGGTGTTACAGATGCCATTAAGCAACTGACAAAACCATTGTGGGGAAAAGCTATTTAGCTGAGAAAACAGCAAAATATGATGGAAGAAAGAGTGAAAAAACCCACACGACAAACTTCCTCTAACAGGTAAAGTCTGCAGACAGGTAAAGAGGTATGTGAGAACTGACCTACAGCTAGGGATTGCAGGACAGACCCTGCAGCATAGAAATGAGGCAAAGGAATCCATCATCCCACTAGCAATGGGAAATACTGCACAGAAATTTAAAAAACAGGTATTTGTTAACATGGAAATAGAAGCTGAAGTCTGTGAAATCAGTGCTTGAGAATGCAGGGAGGGAAAGCAAAAAGAAAGAAATAAATGGGTTGTAGGAAGATCTAAACTCTTGGCCATATTTAGGATGGAAGCAGCAAGAAAAGCACAGAAATCTAGCAAGCACACCATGAAGTCCTCAGCTTATCTCATTATCAACAGCAAACTCAGGTATTTCAAACATTTAGTTGCAATTCAGTTCAGAAAATCTAGCCAAAAAAAAAAAAAAAAAAGAACCCATTAAGGTTCTTTTAAGTTAACATTTCTTTATTCTCAAGTTCAGGTTCTTGTATGTTAAGCAGGTTGACAAAAAGCTCTACATTCAAAACCATTCAATTGCTTACTAAAAAAGAAAATCTGAAATTGAGCCTAAAGTGTTCAGTTTACAGAACTAGTATCTAAGTTCAGAAGCAGCTGTCATTTGTCCAACCTCAAGGTTCATTTCAATCTAACAAAAAAAAAAGAGAAAAGCAAAATAAAAACCAACATGGCTGCAGCTGTAGGAATGAACAGAAGCCATCATCAAACTGCAAACAAGAAGCAGGAAAAACTGAGTAATTCTGCAGTATATTCTGAATGTTACCCTGAGGTGGCCTGCATGGCTTCAGAACTCTAGTCTTATTAGCAAAGATAAAGTTCCACTTCCATGTTTTTGGTGGCTACTAAGCCTTCTCATTTAGATGAAGATGAAAGTGAAGTTGAATCAGTCTCTATCGAGCACTGGACTACACAATGCAAACATTAAGCAATATTAACCAGAATTCATTTGCATTTTCGGTCAATACAAGAACTATTCTGAAATTTAAGTGTGTGGCGACAATTAAATAGACCCTATGTCTGTTTCCACACATCTTGGGAAAAGCTAGTGGATTTTATCTGCAAGTACAGTAGTAAAGGGCTAGCAACGAAGTGACTTGTTTCCTTCCATATGCTAATTCTAATATCCAGTAAAGAAGTTGGCTAGACAACACAGTTTCAGTAGGCTTCTACATACTGATCTGAAGACAGCGCAGTTTTTCCACCCTAAGCAGTCTGACGCATGCTTCACAGACAGCTTTTGAACATGGATCTCAAGGGCAGGAAACTGCATCTTGGGCAAGAGCTTCAATCAAGTTCCCAGGAAGAAGATGGGATTTTGTGATGTGTATGTCTTTCAGATTAATGATTAACAAGAATCTTCAGTGAAGAACATACATTTTCCTCAATCCAGAGACTCAGAATGTAACTTTAAGCAAAACACATCCAACCTGCAGAGCTGCAGATCTAAATCAGAACCTAAATGCCTTTGTGGCACTGCTCTCTTCCATTTCAGAGAAGGTGGCATATCATAATCTTGAAGAAATGTGATGTGTCCAAAAAAAAAAAAAACAAAAACAAAATAAAACTAGTCTCTGTGTGACTTAAGTACTATATCAAGTGGTTCTGACTGTCTAATTTGGCAGCATCATTCCTCAAGAGCCAGAATAGGGAGGAAGGGAGAGAGAGTCTGGATATAATCAGAATTTTAGAAGAGGGAGAAAGCAACATTTAGAGACATAGAGAAATTAAAAGGAGTTCTACTGGTCCTATGTTTCTGCACATGCACTTCTGTGTATTTCTGAACTTTACATAGATTACCACATGCAGTTTCATGACAGAATACTAGCTGTAGCTTTGGTACCTTCAGAGTCACCAAGTTTTCCAGATTTGAGGACATTAACACAAAGCTTCATTCATGCATTTTTAAGTAAACTTTACAATAAAAGGAACAAAGACTTACATATTTAAGCCTGTAGTATCATCAACCAGATGTCACACATTGCTTAAATTTCAGTGTGCTCAGTAAGGATGTTTTAATTACTTCAAAACGCTAAGGAGCGGTTTGCTATAAAATGTATGCCATTCCCACACTATTTTCTATCTTTGCATGAGCTTGTCATCGCTTCAAGTTCACACATCCCTCCGCAGGGTTCACGCTGAAACCAACTACTCGGCGCCACCGAGTACTACTCCTCCCCACGTTTCCGCGGCGTGCCCGCGGGGCCAGAGAGCTTTCCAGCCAGCCACAGGCTTGTGGCCGCCGCTTGGCACCGAAGCACCATTTGGCACGGCGAGCGCGGAAGGGGAAGGCGTGAGGGCTGCGCAACGCTGCCCAGATGCTGGAAACCTCTGGCGGCACCCAGCGAGGCGCCACGCTCCCCTCACCACTCGCTGGCTTTCTCCGTCCCCTTGCCACCAGCCAGGCGGGGAACGCGCACCAACAAAAGCCCCGGCCCCACCGCGCTTACACCGCTGCCAGCCAGCCACAGGGACGGGCCGCGGCGGCCACAAGCCCGGGCACGGCTCCGCTCCGCTCCCCGAGCCCACGGAGAGCCGGCGGCGGCCACGACCTCACGCACGGCCGGGCCGGGGCGAGACGAGCCCTCACGGGCTGCCCACCCGCCTCCCGCCGCCCCCCCAATCGCCTCAGGTAACCGCCTCGCGCCCAGTAACGGCCGCCGCGCGCCTACCCCTGAGGTAACTGCCTCGCGCCCGGTAACGGTCGCCGCGCGTGCCCCCCCCTCTCCTGAGGTAACCGCCTCGCGCCCCGTAACGGTCGCCGCGCGCCCACCCCTGAGGTAACCGCCACGCGCCCCTCGCCTCAGCGGGCGGCAGGTGCGCGGCGCGGCCGGGAGCTCACCTCTGCATCCCGGCGAGCCGGGGCTCTTCCTCTCTGGCGAGCTCCTGCCTTGCTCCGGGGACTGCCGCCGGTGCCGGACCCTGCCCGCCGCCGTGGCGCTGCCCTCCGGCAGCGGGGAGGAGCAAGGTGAGGGCCCGCAGCCCAGCGGCGGCGGCGGCGGCGGGGGGGGAGGCGGCGGCGGGAGGTGGTGGGGCCGCGGGGGGCTGCCCCGGGCCCCGCCGGCACGCGTGGGGCTGCCCCGCGAGGACGAGGCTGCCGAGGCGGCGGCGCTGCTCCCCCCCGGCGGCGGCTGCGTGGCGGCGGCGGGGCCGCTGCGGCCGCTACCGCCGGTGGGCGCCGCACGCGTGGGGCTGATGCTGCGTGAGGAGGGCGCCGCGCGTGGGAGCCCCCCGGCCGGGGCGCTCTGGCCGCCGCTCCTCGTGGGGCTGCCATGTTGCTGCTGCGGCTGCTGCTGCTTGAGCTGGAAGGGCACCGTGGCCCGCATGGGCTGGAGGCGGCTGCTCGCTCCCGCTCCACCGCCCGCCGCCGCCGCCGCGCCGCCTCCCCCCAGCGCGGTGCCCGGGGTCGGGGAGCCGCCGCGCCGCACGCGCGGGTGGGACATGGCGGGGGGAGCCGGCGGAAGGCGGCCGCCCGCGGGGAAGAAAAGAAAGGGAAAGAAGGAAGAGAGCGCCGCGGGCAGCACCTGCCGCGGGCCCAGCGCCTCACGCGGCCGGGGCCCCGTCGTCTCCCGGCCGCCTCCGCCGCCGTGCCCAGCCCGGGGCGCCCCGCGCTGCCTCCGGAGCCTCCGTGCGCCTCATCAACAATAGTGCCCCGGCCGCCCGCCCCGCCCCGCCCCGCCCCGCGCGCCCTCCCATTGGCCGCGCCGCCGCTCGGCTCGCGCAGCTACGGCGCGCCCATTGGCTGCGGGCCGCGCTGCTGAGTGGCCGAGCCTGCGCGGGGAGAGGAGGGGGGGGCAGCCCTTAAAGGGACAGGCGGCTCCGGCACGTGCCGGCGGACGCGCAGCCCCGGCCGCACCGGCCCCGGGAGCGGCGGCTGCGGGGAGCGCTGGGGAGAGCCGTGAGCTCCCCCCGGGCCTTGGGGCCCGCCAGGCCGAGCCAGGCTGCAGGGCGGAAGGCCCGTAACCGGGCGGGGAGTGCCTCCCGGGAGGCGGCTGCACGCTCCGAGCAGGGCTGCCCTGCGGGAGAGGACGAGGGCTCAGCAGCGCCTTATCCAATCGCTTTGCCACCGGCTTAGCGTTGCGGATGATGGCACCAGCGTGTGGGTAATATCCAGGCAGACTTGACCCCCCTTTTTCCCTTAATTGCTTTGTTTACTGTTCTCCGTTAGACTCCGTATCTTTGCTGCAATCTTCTTAAAATACTGGTTAAATGCCAGCATCTTCTTAACCTGATTTATACTTCAGAGGAGCACATACGTGCTTGTAATAGGCCTTGGTTCACACGTCTGAATTATTTAGCTGTAAAGTAAACACTCTTCAGCACCCTCAGATCCTGGGAATCAATTCTATTGCCAGTGCCAGTTCTGGGCTACTCCAGAAGACTTTCCGTAGCCAAATGCCAAATTCCTTTCAATATTGTTCTGCAAGTTGCATGTTGCAATTGAATACCATCGCTATGATACAAATGATGTGACAACAAATTACATACTGTTCTCTCTTGAGTAGGTTGTTTTTTTTTTTCTCTTTTCTCCTTTGCTGTTTTTGATTGAAGCCTCCCTTACTTAAAAAACCCTGTCTTCCCCTTTGAAGAACTTCATTTTTGTGGCTGACAATTTTAACAAACCTGAAAAGCAAGACTATGTGTACAGGCCCTTTTTAAGTATGCCTGGACACAGGCCTCCCTACAACCTTGAAAGCCAGAGTTCCTGTCAAGAGAAATCTTTTTTTATGAGAAATCAGAATGGCAGAAGGAAATAGGATTGATGCATTTCTGGTGATGAGCTTGTTATGAAGTTAGCTGCTGCACTCTGCATCAATTAAATTTCCTTTGAAGGGTATCAAATATGCTCACAGGCTGTGTACATACTAGTAACATAGCCTTCATGGTAGCACGATGGGTTGACCAAAACTGGCTACAAGGCTGTGCCCAGTATTAATGAGAATTATCTTGGGCTACCCTTGAAAGTGGCTGTCAAGGAAAGGGACCAGGAGCCTGGCAGACTACCATCAGTCTTTTGTATCCTCTCCTTACAGTAAGCAAGTTACTTAAGTCATCTTACAAATGGGACCACTTCCCAGTCCTTTTCTTGTAGCCATCACAAGTACTGCTGGTACAATGTGCCAAAGCATCATAGTCCCAGATAACGCACTTAATTAGGGAAATGTCAGGGAGATAGTGCTCGCCTCACCAGGGATGGCCAAGAGGCAGAGAACAAGCAGTGGAGGTGAAAGGGTCTCATAACTCCCTCTGCGACTCCATGGATACACTGAAAAAGAGAACCCAAGCTTCATGATGCTCCACAGGAAAATGCCCTGGAGGTAGAAAAACAGCACCCTGGCATGCTATGCCTAGAGAAATAAACAGAACCTGTCTGCTGCTTTGTTGGCAAAGTGAGTTAGGTCGCCCTAATGCAGGTTAACGTGTGCAGCATTTATTTCATATCTTGGTTGCAATTTTCAATCAAGACCAGAAAATGTAATCCTCTTTGCTGTGACATCACCTACTGCCAATGCTGGTGCAGTTGCTCAGCAGGCTTTTGCTGCTTGGACAGTTTGCCCGCTCCAGAAATACTGGCATTGTTTGGAACAGTGTGCCATAAGGATATTTTTAAGGCATAAAATATCTTGAAGAAATCCTAATTTCTGATACTGTTTCGAAGAGGCCAGAAATGAAAGGTATTGATTTATATTTTTTTGCATGATGCACTTTTTGGAGCCAAGTCACGATATCTGTGACAATTATAGTACTTCCCACGTTATTGTCACGCTGCAAAAAATGGCACTGCTCCACACAGTTGTTATGAGAATATAAAGCAAAGCATTTATGTATGCTTCTCATCAGCAGTTGTATTGCTTTACATGCATTAGACATGAAAGTTCAACATGTAAAATCATGTACTCGGAGCTAATCAAACTGTGTGTACTTCATACATTAATTTGTTTAAACTGTAATAAATGTGTTACAACAGATCTTACTCCTACACCCTATGTAAATAAAAGAAACAACTAAAGCAGTATTATGAATTACTTGAAAATAGTTTTGAAACATTCTTTTTAATAACAGAAAAGTCAAAGCAAAAGCCCTCCCCCCAGTGACTTGGATCCAAATCCCGCCCAGACTCTCCTTTCAATTCATATCTCCCACGAGCTGGGGTTTGTTTCAGCTGTCACACTCCTTGCTGCATTCAGACTTGCCAAATGGCGTCCAGGCCAACTTCGCACCATGCGTTTCACACAGTTTCATGTGGCATCTTCGGGCTGTGATTTCTTCCCATCAGTGGGTTTCTTATTCTGCCCACAACACCTATCATAATGGTGCCAACAGCGATCCAAAACTAACAGGAATGAAAATCATTATCGTCAGAGAAGTTATGAGCCTTCTTATCAGTATCATTTGAATCAGCCTTTTAGATAAGCAAGCCCACTGGAGTCACTCCACATACACAGGATCCGTTTCTCTGGCATCAGCATCTCTATGTAGTATTTTTACTCATCCCAATGTCCTGTATGAGCTGAGCAGACCTGGTATGCTCACACGCCCAAGTGAAGTGCCAGCGCCTGGAGGCAACAGGCACTCAGCACCTCACTAGAGCCCTTCCAAAGAATCCTTGATTCTTTCTTAAAATACAGAGAGTAGTGAAAGCTACAGTTACAAACAAATCAATCCAAATGATAGAAGCTTGTCGAGAATGCCCTCAAAGGCAGACTGTAAAACACAGAGCTGCATGACCAAACTTGCAGCCTTGTAATGATAGGGACAAAAGTAGGGAAGCGATCAAAATAGTAATCCTGAATCAAAAGCAGGGAAACAAAGGGCCAAAGAGGTTTAACTAAGTTTATAAGCCCAAATCCCTCTGTACTGACTACCAAAACAACCAACACTTAAGGAACTTTATCGTCCTGAGGACTGAAGTTCTATGAGTAGATCCACTCACTGCTCATAATAATATATATGAAAAATGTACTGTTAAAAATATCAGTAACGAGCAAACCTTATGGTAAATGATTGGGCTCCAAGTAGCTTCAAATATCTTCTTTACTTACTCTGAAATTAAATTAATGCAAAGCAGCACTCATAAAGGAGCAATCTACTGTCTGTAATTGTTATACCTACAGTTGTTGCGTGTAATGTTAAAGGTTGAAAGATTAAAGATTCTGGGAGCCTAATCTAAACATTAGATTATGCCCCAGGATATTTCATTGCATTTTCCATCTCTCCCCTGCAGAGTGAGTTAGTTTTGCTTGTTTACGTGGGTGTTAAACAACAACTGGGGAAAAATACTTTTAAAAAATAGGGCAAATTTAATAGAATTTGCTTCTCACAAAACCTTTAAGATCCTAGTTAATATTCCAGAATATGTGGGGGGATTTGAGGAGGCAAGCAGATTGAAAATAAGGTATTAAGATTAAAACAATAAAAACAACAGATGGGACCTTGGCCATAAGTCAAGATACTTGCAATATGTAAAAGGCAACTTAAAACAAAAATGCACTCTTGCCACATTTTATAAGTTTACAATCTTTAAGAAAATGTTTCATAAAATAATATCTTGAGGCTTAAAAATTAAAATAATTAAAAATTAAAATCTCTCACTGGCATTGTAAGTATTTGTTTGTTTGTTTTACAAACACTGTTCCCCAATGCAACTCTTAACAGTGAGCTTGAGGGATGTTTCCACTCTACACAATTACCTGGGAGAGGTACGAACTTCTGTAGAAGCCAGAACTAAGTTCACCTCCATGCTACGTGATTTTGCATGCATACAGAAGATCAATTTTCTGAACACACATTAAATAACAGTAGCAATAGTAAGTAAGGACCTTGTGAAAGTGTCCAACTGCTGATGGAAAGGAGCAATTGGAGTCACGCTTGGTTCACCAACATGAGTTCTTGCCAGCTGAGGGTAACTGCAACTGTTCTCAAGCTCTGTTGAAGGAAGAAAATGAGCAGAAGGAAAAGCATGTTGTCCGCCACGTGTCTGAATTTTTGGTTTCAGTGCCACTGACAGAAGTGGACTAATTCATTTAAGCAAACCACAGTTTAATCTCCCACAACTATCCCCCCAGAAAAATATACTGAATAATAATTTACATGTAACTCCTTCCTTCCAGCAACAAAACTTTCATTCCATTTAGATTTATTTTTTTAAAGTATTTTCCAAAAACTTATTATTTTTAGCACAGTCATAGAGCTTGTAAAATAATAATTAATCTACTTTTGTGTTGTATTTAGAGATGTAACATACTTCTGTATTTCTAGTCCCAAGGCAGAAGAATGCATATGAACAATAGAAGAAAAATTGATTTATGAACATTAAATACTGATTTGTCTCACAAGCCAAGGACACAATTTCCATACTGTGAGTATAATGGAACTATATTACTATGAATAAAATATTTATCTCAATTGTCAAAAATACCAATTAATTTGATAAATGGAAATATTACAGTGAGGTATATTTTAAGGCCGTATTACAGAATGATGAACATGCTGTATATGTGATAAATAGGCATATAGCTATAGACACTATTCACTTAAGAGTACATAGAAGAAAGATCCATCCTTCTGATTCAGGTCTACAAACTTGTTTTGCTTCTGTTTGTTTTTATAACATTTATAAAAGCTCAAGAGATTGTTAAAATTCTGTTAGCATGGCTTATTCATGCATTGAGAAGCAGTGATGAAATAACTTTTCTGTTCACGTACATGTAGTAGTCCTGCAGTTAAATTAATTAACTTTAGTAGAGCATATGATGGGGTGGGCACACAGGATTCTCTGATTTGAGAAAATACCTACTTAGAGAGTAACGATCAAGTAGCGCTCTAAAGTCTCCTTGTGTTTAGCCGTGAGGGGCAGGGGAGCTTTTAACTGTATGGTTACATCTCAACCAGACACCACTTCATCTCAATTGTGCCATCCCATCCTTATATGTTGTGCCTTGTGTTCAACCTGGCTTTGCCTCCAGGACACCCAGAGAGCCATCTCTGAGAGAGAGGATATGATCTTTGAGAAGATGAAAGAGGCAAAGCTAGGCAAAACTCCAAGCCCCTCTGCTTCTGGCAGCCTTTCAACCAACACTCATCCGAAACCATGACTGCTAAGTACTGGGTGCATGCGCTCATTCTAAAAAGGTTCTTGAGTTGTGGTGGGTCTTGGGAAGGTGCTGTCCTTCCCACCAGGAGCTAAAAAGCACCTAGATCAGTTATTTCCAACCTTTCTCAATACTTGCATCCTTGAATGTTTTTCAGTGCCCTTGTGATCCCCATCTAAAAACGCCTTGTACTCAGATGCTGCCTAGTAAATATTGGCTTGCTTTCCCCAGTCATCTTCCACAGACCACTCCCTACGAACAGGGAGTGTCTACCAGCTGTGTCCCAGTGTCTACCAGCTGTCTTTGGGCAGCGTTATCTGTTGTCTTTGGCAAAGAGGCATGAGTGCTTCCCAACACATGACTTAGACTCAGATCAGCATTTGTGGATTTCTCCCAGACTTTCCCTGTGGTACTGAAATCTGAAGAGAGGAATATCCCCTGACATAAAAGCAGAGGGCCTGAGCGTGCCATTTAAATTCTAGAAATCAAAAAATTTCAACTCCTCGTTTGAAGAAGAATGACAATCTTTCAGGCTAACGTGAAAAGCTGATTTTATACACATAAAAACATTCTGGTAAAGTAGAGTTTTCCTGCCTGTGTAAAATTAACCTTCTTATCCAATAGAATGTGCTTTGGATCATGCCAGGGAGCAGATGTCTGTAATCTCTTGCACATGGAAAATTTACATAACATCAGAATTAGCAAGAAGTAAATGGGGAGAAAAAAAGCCTGAATGGAAACAAGTGAAAGACTGATGTGGCTGTGTTCCACAAAGTACGTCCCGCAGCTGCATCACTGCTCTGGAACAAAGGGGAATATAATTGTTGTTGTTTTACTTTAATTTCCCAGTAGCAAAGCAAAAGCTGAATAAAAGTGGTTATTTCTGCAGGAGAGAGCTGACTGAGGTGTGTGCATAAGGTCACGCACAGAAATCTCTTGGGGGAGACTATTTCTTGGGTCTGAGTAGCTTACAGCCTCAGTAAAAAATATTGGTAAAATTCATTGGTTACACTTTGCTATTGCAGAGCTGACTCAAGGCTTCTCAGATGCCCTAAGGATAAGACTCAGCCACGCCTGCTGGGTTAGGGCAAAGCTTGGCTGCTCTTGCTGTCAGCAAGGAGTGATAACTGCTGGGGGGGGGGGGGGGGGGGACGGACATCTACTTTCCCCATGGAGAGCTGGGAGCCTGCGCACATGGTGGCCACCTTGGCAGCTGCAGCCTGGCCTTCCAGGGCACTAGCAAAGGTAAAGTGGGCATACAGGAGTTCCTGGTTTTGCCCTTGATCAACTCAGCACGCCTCCCCAGACTTGCTGCAGCACTGCCACCAACCAACTTTTCCCACCTGTGCCAGAAGAGGAGCTGTCACATATGGCAGGGCAGCAGGGAACAAGGGAACAGGCCTGTTGTGGCACAGGAAATGAGAGCTCCAGGTGGCCTAGGCACCCACTGACTCTTCCTGACTACAGCCTCATGGGAATGTAACTTCCTTGGAGTTGATAGTGAGAGGACTTCAAAGGTTCCAAGCTCCCATCAACATCACTGAGACCTCTAGATAAAAAGAGCATTGTGAGCCTGTTCTTAAAGCTTCATATGTAAGGAATGAGACCAGGCTAGCTAGCCTCTTTCCTGTGAGCTGGTGTTGCTCAGTTACCTTGAGCCAACAGCAAGCCACCACATGTAAGCACAATGCTGTCTTTTGGGAGGGACCTTCTCCTTGTCAATAACTGTTCTAATCTCCTAATCCTTCTGAGGCAAACCCCCCCAAGGTATCTGTACATCCCGCATCGAAGATCACAGGTGACTGCTTCCTGCTCAGAGGGGAGGTGAGGCTTGTAATGGTCCCTCCCTGTAGCCAGGGATTTCGAGATCCATTTGTGAGGCTGCTGAGGTGAACTGCAGTATATGCAAGTGTTCAACCCGTGCACTACTTGCCTCAATTTGTTGCTTCCTCCTCATTCATGACAGCAAGAAAGCTCTTCATGCTCTTTCTTTTTGTTCATAAGGTAGCTCTTTGGCCACAGAGGTGTCAGACTTAACCCACCTTCTTACTTGCTTGCAAAAAACATTATTGCTGTGGATACAGAAAAGTAAATCAGCAAGAATTAAGTAAGGAGGAGAGATGTAAACACCAGAGCTACTGAGGTGCAGGATGTGCCCCACCAGTCTGTGTGTAACAGGAAGTTCTGAAGCCAGTGAGATCCCAGAGTACAGTGCTTGGTGCTAAAAGGTGAAGGATGCACGTTGCACAGTTTGAAATGCACACAAACTGTATTGAGTTGCTAATGCAAGCATCTTAAGCGCTGACCAGTGAGAACAGACAAAAAAGCAGTGCATTAATGTAGTAAAGGCAAGCCCTAATTATTTCACGCTGTTATCAGATAACAGTACAATGTATAATCTGTCACATGCTTGAAGTATCTGAAGGTCCTGTTCAGCTCACAGTAATGTAGTTCCTCATTCTTCCACCAACAAAATAATATACTGCAACAGTTTTCCCCTCACTCCTGGGAGCACTGATGGCCAATAATACCATGAAAAAGCCACAAAAGACCATGCTTTTTGTCATTAATATGATCTTTAATAAATGGAATAATGCACCATTTTACAGCAAGCCTTTTCTTTTAGACCTAAAGAATAGCCTTTTAAATGTTCTTATCCAATGTCTCTGTATCAATACAATCTCTTTATTTAGGTTTATATATAACAAAGCAATTCTTACAAGTATTCATAGAAAACTCTGTAGTGGCTTTAACAATGTCAGCTTTCATAGTGGCATCCACAGATGATTAAAAAAAATTAGCTTTTTATTTCATACTCACACTGTTCCATGAAACACAACTTATATAGCATAGCAAGGGTATTGGGCAGCTTATACAAAAGAAATAACTGAAAGCAATTATTTATAAATTCATACATGATATTTCCTCAATCATTTGAGAGAAAAACCAAAAATACCCGTTAACAAAAGGGTTCTGATGAGACTCCATATTCTAGGGTTTCTCCCCCCTCTTCCCCAGAAAAGCTCGCTCAGAAATGCTCTCTTTACAGTCTTTCATAAGGAAAATGGCAGTTTCACATGTCCTAATTTCAGCCTCTACAGAAGACCAAACCCTAGAAATCAGTCTTTGCCATGTTCATTTTCCTCTTATACTGCATTTGGGGGGAAAATAATCAACAGCAATTGTAAAATATGATTCCAGCTTATATAAATGTGAATAGAGCACACTTTCCTCTAGAGACAAAAAGCAGACAAGAAACATTACATACAAACCTTTTTAAGTACATTTCAACATTGTGAAAGAGACAGAGGAGTCACAAATAAGAAAATTCAAGTGACAAATGAAAGGCAGTGATAACTTGGACTTGCCTGTTTGTGTTCTTTTGACTTTTTAAAAATTACAGAAATATTACCTTATTTTCTTCTTTTGAATAAGGAAGATTGAACTGTGATACTTCATGATACAGTCCTGAAGCACAACAAAAAGTGAATCAAGTGCTCTAGAAATAAACCTCAACATTTTTGCTCTGTCTTTAAAACAAGTTAATGGGTTATAAAAGTTGACTTCTGGGAGACCTGGAAGCTTCTAAGTTATAAAGGGTAATTATTTCTGCTTTAAAATAATTACCAGGTGAGATACTATGCTCCTGACACTTGTATGCTGTAATATATCTGCAGAAGCCTGCAAGAACTTTGAAGAAATCCTTCTTTACTATGACAGTTATGGTGCCTATTGAAACATGACCTATGTACTGAAGTTAACCAACATTCTACCTTGGCTTTCCCAGGGCTAATCCTCCCAAGAAATTATTAAAACCAATGCCAGCTTAACTAGCTCTCCCTTGCTCATAATCAATGGCAGACTCATCTTTGATTTCAACTGCATTTGGCTCAAGCACCAACTGATTTGATATTGGTTTCCTCAGATAAACTTGTGCCAAACCGAACTCCCATTTTGATCTGCAGGAATGCCTAAATCTCTTAATCTCTTTGCTGCATAACTGGAAGTTCTGCTACCAATTTTAGTCAGTACAGAAGAAACCCCAAAATGAGAATTTTATTATTATTTTTTTTTTATTATTTTTTACTATTTTGCATAAAACCTGAACCAATTTAGGGGAAAAAAATAACAGACATATGTATTTCTATAGCTTGAGGTTTTATATGACAACATAGAAGCCTAAAATGTAATTGGATTTAATGGCCTAAAAAAAAGTGTTAAAGGGCAACCACACACCTAACAATAGCTACTGCATTAAAAAAACAGT